GGTATGCAAAAGAAAAAGAAAGAAAAAAGTAAGAAATAGTGAAACATTGAAAGAAAGGATGAAATAATGAATGTGTTTGGAAAGAAGGCGGAGGGGAGGGAATAAGGAAGGGGAGGAGATGAGAAGGGGAGGAGGGGGAAGGTAGTAAACAATGGGAGGGAAAATGTGAAATAGAATTAAAGACGTGTGAAAACGAAGAGAGGATAAAGACAGCGAAAGACAGTAACAGAAAGGCGAGAAAGAAGACAACAGAGGAAGAATGGGACCAACAGAGGGAGACTGCTCCTCTCATGCCCCCACCGCCCGCCCCGCCCACTTAGCAACAAAATGAAAATATACTGACGTTCTGTAATAAGAGGAGAAGAGCCGAGGAAGACATGAGAAGTGGACAGTCAAATGGAAAGAGAGCGAGATGGAGATTAGAAAGATGGAGCGAAGCAGTCTTGGACCTCGATTCTACTTCTACGCTCGGCTCGTTTTGTCGGTCACGTTACATGTGATTCGGTCACGTGTCTCTTCGAATCGATATTTGGCTTGTTGACAAGAACAGACGATTTTTCGTTGCGTTCTTCATCATTTTGTCTTCCTCGAGTTTTCTCACTTTTTGGCTTTATCCATATATATATATATATATATATATATATATATATATATATGTGTGTGTGTGTGTGTGTGTGTTTCTGTGTACAGGGTGCGATGGATAAATTATCGTTTAAATTACGCAAAAATGAAATTAACACTGACATCTCATTTTAACAGATACATTTAACAAAATTAAACAACAATATCTTGGAATACTAAAGAGTAATTGTATTCAATAAAATCGACATTGGTTTCAACCACGGTCTTCAGACAACTTAGGAATCTCCTGCAACTCTCCTGGGCAGTCTTCTTATCTAAATTAGTGAATACTGCCGTAATTCTTGCCTTCAGTTCATCTTTGGTGTTACAACACATGATTATCAAGGAGATTGCAGTTTGGGGAGTTAGGTGGCGAGATGCAAGGGATGATGATGTCGCAGAAATTGTCTGACAGCCATGACTTGGTTCTCCTGCTTGTGCGGCATGGTGTAGAATCCTGTTACCAGACATAGGATCTTCCAGCAGACACCCTCTTAACCCAGGGTAGTACCTCCTCAATGTACTTGATGTAGCCCTCCAGGAAGATGAATGGAGCCATAACATCGCTATCACTAGTGATCACTCCAAACAACTTCGTAATCACCATTAGACTCATCCAACTCTTTCTGTATTCTCTGCACTATCCTCAGATTGACACCCAAATACTCTTCCGGTGCGAATGCCAAGAACTAGAGCATACCGTTTCCAAATTTCTGGCGGAGCGAATTGCGTCATGGTGCTTTTTTCTCACAGACGGTGCCCAACTGATCCTACTATAGTGTGTTGTTGACAAAATCGAAAACAAACAATGCGCATGCGCAAAATTAAAAATATAAAATAGTGATAATTTACCATATATATATATATATATATATATATATATATATATATATGATATATAAAATATAGTTTAAAGATATGCTATATTTATGGTTTAAAGTTTTTAATATCAGGATAGAGTGTATGTAAATATGAAAGTAAGCATTGAATTCAACATGTAATGGTGACAGTCTGCTTCAGGCATATAAGCAATAGTCAGTCCTGATGATTGCGTATATACATCAAACAGACTATCGCCTCTGGGTGTTTACTTCAATATCCAATGTCGTGTTTGTGTCAAAATGAATACGTCTAAATTCACCTTCATCCGATACCAAATCAATCCGGATCCAATCTCGGCTTGAGGCAATCGGATGTCTAATACACTGATGAGCTGCAAAACAGTCTGTCTGTGGATGACAGTATATGCATGCTCCTGAAAAAATGATTTCGGTTGAGCTTTTGAGAAAAGTGAATTTGTAAACAGTGACTATTACTGCTGCTGATGCAAGACTCTTCTTTAAGACGAATCGAGTTCTCCGATCACTGGTCTGTTTGTCTAAAAAATAAATACGTCTAAATTTACCTTCATCCATGCCGTGCCAATGGCTTAGGTGTAGAAATAAATCAGACGGGTTTCGATCCCGGCTTGAGGCAATCGGACGTCTAGCCGCAATTGATGAGCTGTGAAAAAGCGAAAAAAGTCTATGTTGGTGATTATATATATATATATATATATATATATATATATATATATATATATATATATATATATATACAATACAAATTACAACTAAAAGTCTATATGTAATGAAGGAGACCATACGAGAAAACAATTTAACGATAAGGTTTATTTTAACTTAGTGAATGTAATATTGACAAACAAAGATTTAAGAGTAAATAGAAAAATTTCATTAGAAACAATGTTGAACCTCTATGCAATACCGTTCTTCCTATATAGCAGTAAATGCACAGATGAAGACGAGATGTGATTTTACAGAAGGACGCTGAGAATACCATGGACGGTGACTGTGAGCAATGAGGAAGTTTTAAGGAAAATGGAAAAAGAAAGTGATGCTTACACATGGAATCAGAAAAAGAGACAATTGAAATTTCTAGAATACATAATGAAAAAGTTATCTTGGACAATTTAATACTCATAGGACGTATGGAAGGCAAGAGGGATAGAGGGCACGTCTTCTTTGTTTCTTTAGTTTGTTTTATTCTGCAGACACACATCTGTCGGTCTTTCTTTTTTTTTTCTTCCTTTTTCTCCACACACACACACACACACACACACACACACACACACACACACACACACACACACACACACACACACACACACACACACACATATATATATATATATATATATATATGAACAGGTGTATCTTAGAAATGATTAAAGATATCTTACTGGAATTCTCCGAGGGTTTTATATCATTATTGGAGTCTACTTTGAACAATAAGAATGTATTTAGCTCTAAGTTGAAATGCTGTTGTGACTTCCTGATTCAGTTTTCCTCTCTATTGTGTACTCTTTTTTAAACTTATTCACCGTTCTCCATGGTTTTTGAGGATGGAAGCCAGAGCAGAAATGTTCTACCATTGCTCAAGGCCTGAATGATTTTTTTCCTCTCGCCATTGTTCAGTTGGTAAGATATAGTAGGACTGACACAAAACGGTTTTAAACTGTTCTCTTTCTAGCTGAATAACCCAAAGGGTTTTTTCAGTTCTTACGACAAATGGTGCCATGATGGCAAAACGATTCATCTGGAAAAAAGAAACTCAATTAGTTTAGTGTTTTTTTTTTGTTTTTTTTTGTTTTTTTTTAGATATTAAACATTATGTGAGATGGACAATTATCCCATGATGTTACACGATTTGGACAATTATGCTGTTAAACGATCTGGACAATTTTGTTGATAAACGATTTTGAACAAATTTGCTGTTACACGATTTGGATAATGCTGTTACACGATTTGGACAATTTTGCTGTTACATGATTTTGGATAATGTTGCTGTTACACGATTTGAATAATTACGCTGTTACACGATTTGAACAATTTTGCTGTTATACGATTTTGAACAATTTTATTGTTTCACAATTTGAATAATATTGCTGTTACACGATTTGCACAATTATGCTGTTACACGATTTGGACAATTTTGTTGTTAAACGATTTTGGGCAATTTTGCTGTTACACGATTTGGATAATGCTGTTACACGATTTGGACAATTTTGCTGTTACACGATTTTGGACAATTTTGTTGTTACACATTTGGTATGTATGTATATATATATATATATATATATATTTAATAATTTCTTTTCTAGCGCTTCTTGACTGTGGTACTGTCTTCCGGTTTCTTGCTTTCCTGTCTATTCAATCTTTATTAATTTAAATGCGACTTCAATCGTCATCACTTATCTTTGTTGAAACTTGTTAGTTTATTGACCTTTCTCCTCACGAATATCTTCAAGGTACTGCAATTAAACATTTTAGTTAATTTTTCTAGTGTTAGTATCAACGTTTTCTTTTCTGGACATAAAATGCGCAAAAATTGTCTTAATGGTCTATATATCAGAGGGCTTTCGGCTATTCTGTTAAAAATTATCGAGGATGTTTATGTTTGTTTGTTTTTTTTTAACGGAATGGGGAAATGTTTTTTTTTTATATTTTTTTAGAATGAATGGAATGTATATTTTTATTTTCCAAACACGGTCAGAATATTGTGGCCGTGTTCATAGTTGATGTTATTCAGTGTTGGCTTTTTCTATTTTCTCTTCACTCTAGAGACATAGATGAGAGACGTCGATCAAGTAGGAGAGTCTGGGAAGCATGTGCGTTTATAAGGTACTATTTGGCCTAAATGGAGCGTCTACTCACATATGGCTATCCATTAAAAATAATGTTTAAAGTGATACAATTTATAGGATTAATTGATAAATATTCATATATATATATAAGAGAGAGAAAGAGAGAGAGGAGAGAGTGAAGAGGTATGCGGGTCTTTGTTCGTGTAAAATATGAACAGCAGTGGTGACTGCCCGCTTATATCTGTGTATGCCTGTCTATTCGGGCGGCAGTTGCCTGCTCAGGCAGATTTGTGCTTGTTCAACACCCATGGAGCCCACCTATTTATGCTGCAACTATGCTAAGCGGACAGTTTCTGGGAGAGAATGCATTATCTGATGTTTTCTGTTATCTGAACAAGGACAATACGCTCAAGCCTTCTGTCACGATGACTTGTGACCTCTTGTTAGCACAAAATAATTCCGTCTACCCAATTGTGTCAACTCGAAGGTGTCGGATACTGGGATCGCCTCCCCGATGACATCAAGAAGCCACCTGCCTGATAAATCAACCAGGAAAAAAAATTCGAACCCAGGTCTTATGGTCGAAAAACGAATGTACTAACCGCGCAGCACACGCGCCCATGAAGCAGTAGTAGATATATGTATATAAGTGTATCTCAATTTGATACAATTCTGCCATAATAACACGTCAAGTAAATATCGAATTGATTAGAATATCTACGATTGACGAGACAACATGCTAAACATCTACTTTTGGCAGGGGGTGGGGAGGGCTATACGCCCAAATGTGATCAATTGTTCATACAGTGGTTGATGTCCTTTCGTTATGGCTTTATAATATTTTATGTGCATTTTTCAAAATTGAATTGCAATAACACTGCTAAGAGACAAAAAAAAAAGAAGTTTTTGTGTTGACGAGAACAGAAACCACTTATCGTAATGTAATGCTCTCAGTAATCTGAAACACATTATGACATTATATAATCATCAGTCACGCAGTCTGATCTCCTCTTCTTAATAATGAGATATTTCCTAGTTATCGTAACAGGAGGAATATTCCATTAGTAAGTCAGAAGAGATAATAGTTGCATTTTATTCCTTTCTCTTTAGCGTTCTTTGACTATTTTTCTTGTAATGAAAAACAAAAAAAAAAAAACAAAAACAAAAAAAAACAAAACAGAATTCATTCTAACATAAGATAATATTAATTATACAGATTAAAAGTTTAACTATAGCTAATTATATAGATACACATCCTTGCTTGCTTGTGCATAAATACTTTAAAACTAAATTTCACAGAATACAAGCCTCAAGAGACACTCAAGATAGAGAGTTAATGAATGAACTGTGTGATATGAATGTAAGTGTAGGAAGTGAACATTATGAGGATATGGAAGATAGGTAACACTTGATCTTTTACTCGAAGAAGAACCCACGCGGGAATCAGTTCCACAAAGCAGCGGTGACACTTAGTGACACTTCTTTCTTACCATACGTTACGAAGAGAATATGAATGAGTCGATCCTGTGCACGTATCATGGCGGGTTTTAGCCGTCATGGTCTGAACTGGTGGAACTAAGGAATATAGCAATCCTAATATTTGCGATGAAAATAGATTTATAATAGCAAAGTAAGCTACGTTTTGTCTGTGGGGGAAATAGGTTATAGCGGTGGAAATAATTAATTATCCACAAGCCGTGTTAGACAATTTCTTGCCAGAATCTATCTTATATATTTATTAGTCTACCATTCGTCCTTGATTTGAGTATTGCTGACAAATCTGATCTGGTGATCCTGCTATTTATTTAGAGATTATTGATAAGACCCAAAGAAGAATCTGCAATGTTATTGGTATTGATCTAACATGTCGAGTTCAGTCACTTTCCCACCGCCATAACATAGCTTCCCTATACCCTTTCTATAAATACTTTCATGGTAATTGTTCTAATGAAATTTCCTCTATGATACCTAGACTTTATTAATTGAAACGCAGTATCACACTGGTTACAAGGTCTAATTAATTTACAGTTGAAATGGCTATATGTAGCCGTAAGTTCTATGTTAATAGTTTCTTCTATCGCACTTCTTGCTCGTAGAATTTTCTTCCAGCTTCTTCCTTCCCAGTTAACTTTGATCTTCAAAAATTTAAATTCTTATTTTCTGCTCTTGTATTGATCGCTCCCCTTAATAGTGTTTTTGTTATATTCTATAACATACAATAATCCCTTGCATCTTGGTAGCTTTATTATCTTGCTTGGTGCGAAATGATTAAAACAAATCAGTGAAGTAAGTCCTTATTACTATTTCGACTTTCCCTTTATTTCTTAATCTCTGTCCTTCTATCTGTCACTGTCATATTTTTCTTCTTCTCTTATTGATATATTCTATCTGTTTCGATTTCAGGCTGCTCTCCATTTTTTTCAAGCTTTCTTATTAAGACGTCCATTTTTTAAAATTTTATTTTCTGTTTTTATATTTTCCGGCACTAATCACTAATCCTATCAGAGTTCAAAATTTCTTATTTTTATTTTTTATTTTTTTGCTTATCTCATTTATTTGCATTTCTCCTATTTTGCTGTGCTTTTTTTCCCTATTTCTAAAGCCGTGTTTCTACTTTCACTTTCACTTTCACTTTCTCCTTTTCGCTTTCTTCGATCAAGAGTTCCGAGCGATGTTCATCAGCTCACGTTTTACTCCTGTGCGAAATCCGATTCTTTTCCAATAATACTTTCCTATGCTTTCTGCTTGGTGTAAATACTTCGGAGTAGCATTCTGACATTCTAGACGAAAGTTGAAGAAGCAACGTGTTGAAATGTGACGCCGAAACAGAAAATACATAAATAGAGAACAACGACAAGAAGATTGTGTAAAAGTCATGAACCAATAACGTTTTATCTATATTCACGAGACATAACCGAAGTTATTTATTTGCGAAACAATACATAGTCCCATATTTAAAAGCATTAATCACACACACACACGATCACACACACACACACACACACACACACACACACACACACATATATATATATATATATATATATATATATATATATATATGAGAAGCTGTGATACAGCGAAACAGTCTGTCTATGGATGACTATGCTCCTGAACAATTTATTTCGGTTGAGCTCTCTGGTGAGGAAGTGTGGGTTTGTAAACAGTGACTATTACGGCTAATAATGCAAGACTCTTCGGCAAATCGAATTGAGTTCTCTCAGTCACTGTGTGTTTATCTAAAAATAAATACGCTTAAATTCACCTTAATCCCCGTCGTGCGCCGACGGCTTAGTGGTAGAATCCTCGACTGACGCCAATTCAGTCTGATTCCGACCCTATATATATAGTTATCTACAGATAGACACACACACACACACACACACACACACACACACACACACACACATATATATATATATATATATGTTGAAACTTGACTAATGCATGGAATAATAATGCAACACAAAATGTACTTTTGTATTGAAACAAGAAAGTGTACACAATATTTACATATAGTCTTTTGTATATTCCTGGTAAGACCGTTCCTGGAGAATGTGTTGTCTGAGTCGCAGTCGGGCAGAGTCTCTGGTTGAATCTCTTGATTCCACCCTCTTTTCCCGGTACCAACCATATTTATATGGTCGGTACTCCACTATGCAAATTAGGTGGTTTATGTTAGGTACATGTAATACTCTTATTTTCCACTATTTTTCCTGTTTTATTGCTAGCTATATCTTGTCAAATTTCTTTTATATCTGTAGTTTTCTCAATTGAAACCTCTCCTTTTTTTTGCTTATTCTATTTTATGTTATGTGATTTACTTATTTACAACTGATATGGTACTTGGTTAATTTATTTAATAATACAGTTTTCATATTATCCCCCCCACTTGATAAATTTTATTCAAAAACTTTTCTATGTCTTCCTCTTTTTAGTTAATTAAAATTGATTTTAAAGAGTTTTTTTTATATCTCATATACTTTCTGAAGAGTTATTTTTCTATATTTCACATCATATAAGAATTTTCAATTTTTTAAATATTCTATAAGATATTTCATATTCTATATTTCATATCCTATAATGTTTTTTAAATTTTATTTTTATATTTTTCTCTATATATTTTTTCTTCTTTCTCTTTTTTTTAAAATCTGATATGTTATGTGCATTCAAGTATATTGATGAATTAATTTTACTTTTGTTACTGGTTAGCGTTTATTTTTTTGTTTTGTTTTCTTTGGGTTGTCATTATTTATTTGTTATAGAAGTTTCCCTTTGTAAAAAAAACTCTTTATACTTTCATCTATTTTAATTTATAAGTTAATCTATATTTAATTTTAATCTGTTTAATCTATTAAAACTTAATCTATAATTAATTTTAAATATATATGATTCTATGTAATAATTTATATTTTAATCTATAATTAATCTATATGATCTTTAAATTTAATCTTAAGTTTAATCTGTGTTTTACCTTTTTATTAATCTATTTAAAAAAATCTCCTTTTATATTGTAAAATTTTCTTTTGGGCTATTATCTATTTATTTTAATTTCTTCCTTTATTTTAGTATTTTTGATATTCAGATTTTTCTTGTTTACATACTAATAATGTCTTAATTTTTTATTATAATATTAAATTCCTTTGTTTAATATTAAAATTAATTAATAGTTTTAATATTAAATTCTAATTTTTCTTTTATCTACAGTCTTTAAAATTCTTTCTTTTCTAACCTTTAGTGAGTGTATTTTCTTATTTAATTTTTTTTCAATTTTAATTTTTTTTCTATTTGAACAAGAGTTAAATTTTTAAATATAGGTCATTGTTAATCTTCAACCATTTTTAACTTCTGTCTCGACTTGTATATATTCTGTCATCCTGCTCCCCTCACTACTTTGGTGTTTCTTTTTCTTTTTTTTTCTCTCTCCCTCTTAAATGTCTTTTCCCTTATTTGTGGTTTGTTCCTCTGTTTTCCTCGCTTTTTTCTTCTTTCTTTCTATCCTTTTTTTTAATTTTAATTTTTAAAAAAAACAACAAAAAACGTTACGATTCATTTTTTTTATCAAACGTTTTAATATTGACAAGCTCCAGGGAATTTATCCCGAGGAGCGAAATGGCCATAAAATGGGGTACAATTGAGTTTCATTTTTATATAATATAATATAATATTAAATTCACCTTCATCCCTACTGTGCGCCAACGGCTAAGGGGTAGAATCTCTGACTGATGCCAATTCAGCCGGGTTTCGATTCTAGCTAGAGGCAACCGGACGTCTAGCCACATTGATGAGCTGTGATACAACGAAACAGTCTGTAGATGACTATATATATATATATATATATATATATATATATATATATATATATATATATATATATATATAAAATTTAACAGGATTTCTTCTAATAATATAAGACTAGAGTGATTATTGATATAGAATTAAAAACGTTTAATACTTATCGAAGATCAACTCAGAGTTTTGACATTTTTGAATCACCTATTGGGTCTTTCGACAAGAATTAGATTTAAAACATGAAATAGATATAACGATAGGCTAAAATAGAAGAAGAGGAGAGGGAAGAAAAGAACGAAGTTGAAGAAGAGGTCTGTACATGATAAATAAAGAGATAAAGAAAGAAATAAGAAATGAATCATTATTAACATTATCATTAATTGTTTATTTTTAATCGCTTTTCTCTTAATACTTCATTTTTTTTATAGCAACTCTACCCTGGCCACCGATCTACGATAGTGAATAGATAGGTAAGCATTTAAATCAGATGAGACAATACTGAAGTGAGTTCGAACCACACCGTCAGCCTAGCCTTTATTTCCAGTTAGAATTATGTTCCTCTCTACTGACTAACCATTCGGCTGATCTACACCCAAAGTTGAACAATATTCGTTGAAAATAGCAAAAACGACTGTTTCGTTCTTTTCATTTTCTCTCTCTGTAGAACTCAAATTTTGTGTTATAAATTTTGCGAATTCAAAAACAAAAAAAAAATATCCTGAAATACCAACTGAAACATTTTTTTTTTCGTAACTACTCAAATCAAATTTGGCTACGCCCCCACCCCACTGGCCGTGGAAACAGTAAAGTAAATTTGGCAACTCCAATCACACTCTGTTTAATGCAGTACTCAGGGAATTCCCAAAACTCAAAGAGCAAGAATTTTTGACTCCTTGAAACGAACAAGGAAGCTGTTTGAACAGTGGCTGACATTATAAGACGTCGCATTTTCGTTTTTCAATTTCGATAAGCATTTTACCGACTTTATATTGACTTCTGACAGAAGCTACGATAAGCAAGAGCATTTTGAAAAGACACGGCATCGTTTGATAGAAAGAAAAGTAACATATTGGAAACTGTCATTATTCAAGAAAACGGGAAAGGAATTTGTAAAAACGCAATTACACGCCCACGAAGACAGTCGCTCAAGCTTGCAAACACGAGTGCCTAGCAGTCCCAAATATAGATAAAAGATAAGCACACGCGCACACACACACACACGCGCGCGCAGATGAACACGTAAATACACACACACGTACACACATAAAACAGACATCGTATTTTTGAATAAGATTAAAAACAATAAATCATCTAAGAATGCCAAACAAAAATATTAATATACATTAGTGTCTTCATCTTGGTTTTATATAGTGTTATATAGAAATAAAGTGTCGCTGCCGACACTGGAATTTGAACACAGATCGCCAGAGAGCAAACACAGGCGATTCTATTTTGAATAAGTAGATCACGTGATGGCAAAGGAAATCTATATATGGGAAGTAGCGTGGTGGATTACTATTCGGTACTATTTGTGCGAGTGTTATTCGAAGGCGTCTGACACCAGCATTGTTCAACGGCGTTACTATAGTTGTATCTGCGATTACAAAGTCTCTACTACAACGAGCATTACGAAACTGACAACGAGTATTCGTTGACATTACAAAAGTGTCAAAGAGTGTTCGTTGACATCACAAAATATAGTCATAGAACTCCGATTGTTGTACCATCGTTTCTTTTGTCGAGTGTTTGACATGTTTGGTAAAATTCTAAGGATTTTCAAGTAAACACTTTATTCAGTTAACAGGAGTATTTTTTTTTTTCAATTTTGCGAATGGAACGAGGATGATTCAACCTCGCGTACGAGGCATGACAAGGTGTTGCCTACAAAAGTCAGTACTGATGGAACTAAGGAATGTGACTCGTCATAGAAATAGAGATAGAGTTGCGATAGCCTCGCGACGTTTGTGGGAAAGAGGGTTTTACAGTAAGAAAATTGAAATGTTTTAAGAACACGGGGACAAATTTATGTGGAAATAATTATGAAAGAGTGTCATAATTGTCTTTTGCATGAAGGGTGCTGAAATGTTCTCGGATCTATCAAAAAAAGAGTGATCCTGAGTTCTGAAAATTTCACCTGCATTTCAACATGCTTGACACATCTATTCTCAAGTTTATTTGAACATTTCAAATTCCTAATTTTTGGTTGTTGAAATGCCTTTCTGCTGTTGCCCTCACCACTGATTCATTCGACAATTCTTTCCTTTTAAGGTCTGGAAACAAGAAATGAACTGAATATATCCTGATAAGCAGGATGGATTGGCTATACACTCAAAATGCAAATTCTTCAACGTGTTCACCGTTTTTGTAGCACTGTGAACATCTTGAAAAAGCGAATACAGCCTGATTTGCTGTTTTACTTTCAACGCTAAGCTTAATCGACACAGATTGTTAGAGTGGTATTCTGCCTTATCTTTTGTAGCTTCTGAAGATAGCTAATCATCAAAATACCTTCCTTGTCCTCAAAACCATTGTCACGACTTTTTCTGCTTCTTTTAACACCTCCTTTAACTGTTAAAGTAATATGCAACATTAACTGTTTGGCCCTTCCGTAAATAGCTAGAAAAGTACCTCCGCTATCCCACAAACAGATGCCATGACCTTTCCTGTTTCTTTCAAAGCATTCTTTAATCGCTGCAACTAGTTATAGTAATATGCTCCATTAACTGCAAGAAGCTAGTGGGCCGCCGATGGCAACGCAAGTGATCCTCTGCAGAATTCCAGTAAGATTTATATTATTAATATATATATGCATGCGTGCGTGTGTCATTTGCAGACAGTACGGTTTCGCTGTATCACAGCTCCTCAGTGCGACTAGGCAACCAAATGTCTCAAGCTCGGATCGAAACCCAACTGATTTGGTGTCAGTCAGAGCCATCTTCACTCG